GTTTTAATATAATAAATGGGATCTCAGTCCACTGGCACCGCAATCTGAGAATAATTCATTATTCTTGTTAGTATAAGAAAAGGAAACCCTAGTCGTCATTCTTGTTCTCTGTGCAAGTTACCATTAGAGGCTGGACAATTGGACAGCTTGGATTGCAGATCGTGATCATTCGAGTTCGAGAATTAGTAAAGGAGTTTGCAGAATTCACCAAAATGTATTATTCTAATCACAGTTTCTATCTGAATATAAAGCAGATCTGTGTTGAGAATTGAAAAATAATTTATTTTTCGCTGTATATGATTAAGTAAATTCTCAACAAAATAGGAGCTAAATAAACCTTTCAAGTTATAGAGTTTTCGAAAGGCATGAATAAAAAGTAACTTGAAGATATGAGACCAACATAGATTGTCTTTTTCAGAACTCTGTTTTGCCGGTTGGTCTGAGGACCTATTGGTAAAAAGAAATGAAATTTCCTAATTTCAGTACACAGTCGTATGACACGAGAATGTCGCGTATAGTTCCTTTACGAAGCGTGTGATACTGTTGGTCAAAAGAAATGAAATTTCCTAATTTCAGTACACAACCGTAGGACACAAGAATGTCGCGTATAGTTCCTTCACGAAGCGTGTGATACTACCGCTGATCACGTCCACATGCTCTTTCCGAGTGGTAGGCCACCTATCTTTTATCTTCCCATTTCCTAGATGATGGCTGGAAAGTGTTAGTGCCTCAATCATTAGCTCTAGTCATCATTTTTAGTATTTTAGTCGCATGAAATTCAAGTTTACATCACATTGGTAATCAATTTATGATGGCAACTTGATCCCAACATTTTTTTTCTTGATATTCACGTCTACAACACTATAGTTTTAGACTTACAATTAAAATTTTGTGAAATTTGCCCCACAACTCTTTTATCCCATCTCCACCCCCGCTTGTATGGGTACATGCCCAGAGTACACCTTCAAAGCATTAAAGCCTAGAAAGACATTTTCTTGCATGCTGAAGTAAATGCGGCTTTTAAAGTCCCCTCGAAATAGGGAGCAACAAAAGAAAATAGCTGATCACAAATAAACCAATAGTGTTAACATATGGCAAAACAGCTGGAGAAAAAAAGCCAATACGATCCATTGTTCGATTTTATGTATTAGCACGAAGAACCACAGAATAAAGTGAAAGATGAAAAGCATTCAAACTGAATCCCAAACAAGTACAATAAACTGAATTGAACTTGGGAGAAAGACTTGATAGCATAAGTTTAAATACACTGCCAAAAAGAACTACATCACTATTATTCATCTGAATCTTCAACTCCACCAACTCAGAAGGATTAGTGATGTTTCTTCACCTCGAAAAGACCATCTGGACCTGCATTCACAAAATTTTCTTAACAGACTTGACGCAGACGCATCTGATAGAAAAACGACGGACAAACATGTGTGCTACATTATTGCAATTTTTTGTCTAAAGCAGCACCAAGGTAAAAGATGTCTATGCAATAGACGACATCAACATGTCATATGAATACATAAATATGTTACATGGTGTTGACATTCTGTCCTGGAGAAGAGTTATATGCAGTTGAGCAGAACTATGTTCACTTTAGTTTAATTGTTTCGATTGCCCCAATAAAATAAAAGATTCATGTAAGAACTAATGATTCTGTCGTTACAATCCCAGAAAAGCACTCGCGCAAGAACTTACAGGCTGAAGGCTGAAAGTGATGACTATAGTCATCAGGACAAAGGATGAAAATAGAGCAACAAATGCAACTTGAGCATTTTAATCATTTAAATAAGATGCCGAGAAACAAAGAATACCAAATACTGTTTTGAGTACTCTATTAGTAAATGTTTTACTTTGCAATACAAATACAAACACAATAATCGAAATAATATTCTGAAGGTAAGACACTTAATACATGAACAATTAATTCTAAAGTTTCCTACTAAAGTCTACCCTGATGCTTAAATCTTAGTTCTTGACTGGATATCATCAAGTAAATCATATAAATAGAACAGCATAATCTATACAGAACTTCTACCAACTCACATAATACAACAAAGAAATCAAAATTTTCATCTATTTGGCTTCCATCAAACAACAACCCGACACTGCACATAGTTTAATCTTGAAAGCAAATTTAGAGTCTGCTTAGATACTTTAGTCATTTATACCCCCAGCGGCATTAAATCCCTCTCCTCAAATTAAAGAATGTCTTTGGGAGTTAACTTTCGTGTTTTTTTTAATCATCATCAAAACTTTATAAGATCAACATGAAACAGATATTATTAGATTAGAATTATAAAGAAAAGGAACTTGGATGGTGGTCTTTCTATAGAATGTGGTGCAAAGGAGATGGAATATATTTTCATCACCATAAGGTGGGTTGTATTTAATTTGGATGACCAGAATTTCTTGCTTCTCTAGTTCTTCAGCTGATTCAAAAAAGGGAATGCATCGAAGTTGTCCTACGCTGCCGAGTCATTATGCTAGAATACAAAATAACTGATTTTGAAGGATAAGACTGCCTAAAACTTGATCCATCCAAACCCCTACAGTAGACACGTGTAGCAGGTTTGACATTTAACTCACATAAACATTCATAAGTAATTTGACAACGCAAAAATAAGAAGCCTTACAACCTATCAAAGAAATCTAGTTCCGGATGGCCTAAACTTCTCATATCTCTAGTTCTTCATATGATCTCAAAAAGGTAAAGTCGTCGACTTTTTCCTAAGTTGCCAGGTCATCATAAGCTAATGCACAATAACCTATTTGGTAATAGTTGATCTTCCAAACCCCCATGGTAGGTATATTGTGCAGTAGGTTTTGCATTTGACAGACAGTAACATTCATAACGAAAAAATAAGCAGCCTTAGTAGTAAAATATACAGAAATCTAGTTTTCAATAACATAAAAAAGCCACAACCCAGAAAGTCCTTTGTACAATGTATGCAATATAGGGATGACAATTCGAACTGTTAAAACCGAAAACTGCGATTAATTGAACCGAATGGGGCAAAAAAAATCGAACTGATGGTGCAATGGGGTGGTTATGATTTTGATTTTAATGACGGGTTCGAGGCGGGGTGTGCAGGGCGGGGTGTGGTATTTAGCGATGGTGCCCCGCCTCGAACCGATTACCCGTTTAAAAAAAAAGGGCAATTGGGCTTTCCATTATTCTTTCCCAAAATTAATTGGGCAATTTTGACAATTGGGCTTTCCCAAAATTCTAGCCCAATTAACATTACTAGTAAACCCTTAACTCAGTAACTTAACTCTAA